CTGCACATATTTTAAATATTGCAGTTCAACATGGTTTGCAATTATCAGATCCTATTATAAAAAAGGTTAGAGATTTTGTAGTAAAGATTCAACAATCAACAAGACTTAGTGATTCAATAAGAATAATTTGTCAACTTGAAAAGATTCCAGAATTAAAACCAGATTTAGATGTAGAAACTTGATGGAATTTAATGTTAAACAAATTTCATTGAATGAGAATGGCAAAATATTGAAAATATAATTCAATTACTTGAACCAATATTTATAGCAACAGAAATATTATCATCATCAACTTATCCAACAATAAGTGATGTACGATTAATTTTTATTGGATTACTTCGACATCTAGAATCTTTTATTCAAAATCAAAATAATTTAGAAGATTGTGTAATGGCTAATTCAATTAGTTTTAAATTAAAAGAATATTGTAAAAATGTAGAAGAATCAACAACAATTGCTACCTTATTAGATCCACGGTCTAAAACAAAAACATTTCAAGATTATGATAAATGTGATGAAGCAATTTCATCATTACAAAACCTTATGCCATTATATAAAATTAATAATCAATTAGGAAACACTAGAATTAATACACAATCACAAGAAAATAAAAGATCATATTTTGAATTTCTTCTTACTGATCAAACTTCTGAAGAAAGACCTACAGATGATGAAATAACTCAATATATATCAGCACCTATTATTAATACTAATCCATTAGAATGGTGGCAACGTTTTGAAAAAGAATTTCCTATTCTTTCACAAATAGCATTATGTTATTTAAGTATTCAAGGTTCTAGTGTACCCTCAGAACAAGCATTTTCCATGGCGTCAAATACAATTACCAAGATTCGATGTAATTTGAAACCTGAAACCGCACATGCAGTTATGTGTTTAAAAAGTTGGATTCAACAAGTTTAAGATAAAAAAGAAAGTGATAAGTTTGAAGAATCTTTTTTTTTGGAGTGTTAATAATTAATATTATAGTTATTATTATTATTTTATTATTAAATCTAATCTTTTAAAATGGTAGTACATAAATCTATATTTAATAATAGATCTATGTGATCAAATTTATAATTTTTGAATAATTATTTTTATGATTATTTACGTGATAAAAAATTATATAAAGATCTATTTTTTATAGGGGTGGTGGTTGGGGGAAGGGCAGTAAAACTAAGTTTTTTTTTTGAAAATTTAATTCAAGTAAAATTTTATTTTTACAATTATTATTCAATTTTTAAACATTTAATAAAAGGAAATTAAGTTTGGAACCAAAATATATAATTATATTTGATATTACTATGCAAGTTTTAAAATTATTATAATTTAAAAATCAGATAAATTTTTTTTTACTTTAATAATTATAATTATTACTCCATGGAGCAACCCAGAGTAACCTGGAGCAACCCGGAGCAACCCATGGAGTATTAACCCAGTACATTTAACCCGGTTTGGGTTAGGTTAATCTTTGCTCCACTATAATATGAACCCAACCCAACCCATTATGTTCCATTAACAACCCTAGTCTTTCATATGACACTGCGCAATGTGCGGCGTAGCCGTTATAATAATATATTTAGCGCATCACATGACTTCCGT